TATATATATATTGCCAAAATTGCAAAATTGTGTTTGTGGTCATTGTGAGAATAGCTTAACGATTCATTTGTATTGCAAAGTTTCTCTCATGTGTTTTATCCAGCAACACTTCAGAGCTTGTCGAGCGTGCACCTCTCGATCGACCATCTGGTGAGTTCTGACGATTAATGGGTATGGTTTGTGACGCAGTCCGTCTGATGTGTCTCTGTGATGTTTTATCTAACTTGGGATGTGTAGCTCTCCAGTACGTTTCTAAAAAATCTGCCAGGTGTTCACATGCGTCATCTAATTGATTTTCATCAATAATCACATCGTATAATGATTCTGAAGACTGCAAAAGTTTCTCTGCTGCCATTATTTGTGTGCTCATCGATCGTATTTGACTTTTTCCACGTGATTTGATAAGTCGTTGTAAGACCTACAATAGATGCTTTAATACCATTAATATTAATTGCACTAAACAGACGTATTTCATCGAAACAATCCCAAGCCAAAAATATTGGAAGATATGTAGTATCAAGTAAGGTAAAACTTAAGAGTTATTCAAAGAGTGAAGACCTTGTTATTTGAAACACGTATGTAAACGATGAGTGGCGCAATTGTTGTTTTTGATACTTGTAATGGATGATTGACCAAATCACAGTCGATAACAACCAACTGCATCATTTTACCTAGTTCAAAAATTCGATCCACTTCCGATTGTATGCTATCTGAAATCAAATGCGTTTGCTCGAGCACATAATCGATTCGAAGCATTTTCTTAATAATTCCTTCTCGACCGACTTCACTATTAGCTCAGAAAACTTCTTTTCAAAACTTCATATATTCAAGGAGCTGATTTGAATTCTTACTGCAGTTGGCTCTATTCATGCTCTGACTAATAAATGTGCTTCAGAACTAAACTTTTCATCACGGATTCATTACAAGTCTTTAACAATTTCTTGGTGACATTTTGTCACAGTATCGTAAATGTGATTACTGTAGAAAGTATTTGAGAAATTATTGTTTGTATCAAGTGACCAGCAGATATGATGGAAAAAACAATTATTAGGTAAAAGAGGTGCAGTAGAAGAGTGAATAATTGAGTCTATTCAAAACTTGCTCGCGTGCGATTCAGCATTTCGAAACGTCATCCTTCTGGTAGATCCAATATCAGCCGTTACACGTGTCATTATGATTCGACCACTGAATCGGATCTGTATGGATGAAACGTTATTCAAATAATTAGTAGTGTTATCCTAGGCTGCTGATGACTCTCTACGATTTATTCATTAGAAGGTTCGCATTTTTTTTGATATCTTTTGCATCTATAGTATTATCATAAGTCAATAACATTATGGTTTTAAAAAAATCACAGGAAGAAATTGAGTTTGAGCAACTCTGTGGAATATTACATGTCGAAAAGGAAATTACATCACATCTTCAACTAATTCGTACGAGATCAATTTGGATTATGCATGTAGCTTCATACAAATGAACATCCACTAAATCTGTATCCATGAGTGACCACTTGGTCTATTTATAGATAAAATACTTCTGACCACAATACTACAAAAATCTGGAGGCTTCCCTCATTTATAAGGCGCCAAGTGGTAATAGGTGAATTAAAGGTTATACTGAATTAAAGGTTATACTAAGATTATACTGCTGACAAAAGATTGCCTGCGTAGCGTGGAATACTACGATGATGTTCAACGTTTCGACATTATGTCATCTTCAGGAGCAACTTTTGAATCACTGAAAGCCATGATGAATTTTTGGTGGATGGTCAGAGATTGAGGAAGTATGATAGGGGACCGCAGATGATCTAATCAGACTGTGATTACTTCATCACTCATTACTTTACCTCACACCATCTCCTCTACTTTCATCACTATTCTCGCCACTTCACCCTGTCAATATCACAGTCATTATCGTCGTTTATCTCTCCAATCATTACAGTTTATTTATAATTCCCTATCATACTTTCCATAATCCCTGACCCTCGATCCAACCACCGAAAGTTAATCATGATTCCAAAAGGTGTTCTCGAAGATGGCATAACGCTGAAACGTTGAACATCATCGCAATATTTCTGACTGCGCAGATAATCTTCCGACGATGGCATGACTTTAATGTTGTGATACAACAAAAAGCGATTGTTAATACGAAATAATTCACTAGGAAATAGTTTTAAAAATAGACCTTTGCTTTAGTGCACTACTTTCTGTCTCAATACAGTTCTCAGTCAGCTGGCAAATTACCTTGAGAAAATCGAAGATAGCTTTATGCATCATATCAGTCACTTGAAATCCTTTCAGTGAGGGACCCACTAGACATACAGGCCTCATGATGGGTACAACATCGTATGGTCCATGCAGTTCGGTATTGCTGTTATCAAAAAAGCTTATGATTAAACATGAAGCAACAAGTACTCTGAATTACATTATTAAGAGTCAGTCATACAAAAGCGTTTTGAGCTGTTTAATTAGAGAACACCATTATGAGTAAATTTGCTGCGTAAATTGATATCAGTGATTTTGACACATTCATACATACATCGATTTCGAACGGCGTAATTCTTCGGTGCTTTCTAGTTTTGATGGACTCGGAACGAAACCCAACTCAGCACCATCTTTCACCAGCCGTCCAATCCACCAGTCATCGTTAAATTTCTACTCATATACTCGTAAGTACATATATTTTCAAAGATTATTTTGTTAACATGGAATTGTTAATACGAAATATGCTTGTCAATACGGAATTCATACGAAAGTAATTGTCAGTTTTTTGAATTCATTCGTTGATGAAATGCCTTGACTGATGAAAAATTCATTCGTTGATGAAAAAAAAAATTCAGCCATTATATCCTGCCTCAAGAATAGTTCCAAATTTTATCGTGGAACGTTGATGCGGCCGGCAACAGCTACGTTAATATAATAAAAGTAAAAAATCTACAAGAAAATATTATTTAGCTGAAGTAATTGAAGTGGCTGTACTTCTTTGATGTGGAGAAATTGTCGTGTTTCAAATGATAGCGCACAACCAGGCACAGGTACGTCGTCATCCAACTGACCATCATAGGCGATATTAGTGCGTAATGCAAACGCGACCGGTTTATACTAAACTGAACTTATCTTGAGACTTTACATGATTATTATTGCATCATCTTGTCATCATATCTCATCAAAATTACCGTTTTTATCAACTTCTGGATCAAACCAAAGTTTCAAAAGAAGAATAAAGTTGCTGATTATGTTTTTCATTTTGAAACTTTACTTAATAAGTGTTTTGAAGCGGTGATCATTCGAGTGATCAAATGTTCCGTGCAATGATATGCAACTTATCGAACTTGTTTTAAAACAAACCTTCGCATTTTCAAGTTGTAGTGATGCCCGTTGTTCACATTGCTGTGTTCGAATTTGATTGTTTACTTTGGAGTCGGGAAGTTGTGAATATGGATCCTAGAAGATGTGGCTCATTTGCACTTTTAGCTTGAACTCATCGATGCTCTGACTAGTGCTTCTCACGTGATACTTGCCTATTTCATGTAGTGATCGAAGAAATCTCTTTTCCTTTTTAAACAATCAAGTGCCATTTTCAAAGCAAACAATTAAAAGTTCATTAAAAAATCGATTATCTATTGAAATGTCAACGTGATTTGAAAATTGAACGTTACTTACTTCGACATCCCGTTGTGACTGCTTATATGAATAGAGATAGTGTTGAAGATGTTGACGTATTAATGAATGCATTGTTTCAAACTTTTTTATACGATCAACTTTGGATGGATTTTTTCTGGGTGATGAATTCGTAGGTGGCGAAAACTGTGAATTATTTCATACTTCCACAAAAGAGTTGAATTATTCCATCTCTAATGGAACATTCAACTGAAGTTACGTTTAGACTGTTTTATCTCGAATTATTTCTGATATATTCATGAGTACCTAATAATGAGAGTATTACATTGAATGCATAATACCTGTTCTATAGAGCAAGGGTACAAAGTCAGTATCGATTATTGAAATCCGATCTACAAAGTAACCATTAATGATAAACCTGAAGATGCGATGTTCTGGCCTTCGTGTGGCTAACTTAGCTCGTACCTCATTCGTGAAGTCTCTTTGAAATGTCCTCTTATCACTTATCCCTTCATTTGGTTTCGTTTTGGCCCATAAAGAACCTGAACACCGCGAGGAATTCAAGGCACTTGGGTATGTTTCCTATCATTCCTAACACCTTTCACTATTGAATTTTGCAAATTTGTTTCTTAAAAGCCTAATTAGGACATGTCGAACTTCTGTTTCATATGGATGATTATGTGTTTTTCGAAATTGCGTCGCACAAATATGAAATTTAATTCAGCTCGTGCTTTCGAAAAATCAACGAATCTAAGCATCTTAAAGTCATTTCAAAGATTAACAGTAATGCAGAGCAGTGGTTCTCGCAGCATGTAAGGGGAGAATTGGGAAGGTCCAAAAATCATTACTGATTAATTTTTTCTTATCTTTCTTTCATAGGTTTTAAATAATGTTTTCAAAATGATCGTCTGATTACAAGAAAGTAATTCTTTTGACAATACCGGAAATCGTAGGTAAATTTCTTGATCTATTTCTGATTTATCACCAGAATCTATAAATCAGGAGAGGAAAGAAACTATTGCGGTCATTTGGATTTTTGCATGCGAGATGGAGAAGGAGGAATGATGGTCTGCTGCACGTATGAGGGAGGGGGCATGGGGGCGTGAGCATGATAACTAGTGAATACAATATTCATAACCAAAATATGAATCGAAACAATGCACGGAAGTATTGGTAACACAGCCAACTTGACGACCAACCAAGAGTTCGTCTAACTAACGAGTCAGTATTGTGGTGTGAATTATCCATTCGAACTGATGTAACCAATGAATCTAATTTTGAAATTTATTCAATAATGAGCCGAACCATCCTTTAGAAAAAGAACTGTGAACTGATTACGAGGCAGTTACTCTCTTCAGCAACCAGCAGTGGCCTAACAATATCGCAATAATCAGTTTGTGAATCGTTCGTTATTATTTTGAATGCAGTTTTTGTTGTTTGAGCATTTATAATGTTCTACTTTCATTGTATCATTGCAATAATAGAATGCTAAAAGTAAGGAATAAATATCAACTAAATGCTTATAAATAGGAAACTCTCGGTATTTTACTTCAAGATTTAGATAGATGGAGCTGCCTTGAATGGGCAGTTCGAAAGAAAATCCCTTCGGACAACATCTAGCAACACTGCTGATCGTGCACTGTTGAAAATAAAATCAACTAGTGTGATCGTGATGCATGCAAATTGCTCTTTATGCAATGCTTATTCTGATCTGGTAATATAACTACGATATCTACATATTTTAGAACCACGGTAACTTTTCAAATAGTGCACCTACTCAGAGAATATCGCTCTTTTCTTTTCAGGGTGTTCCATACAATGGAAATTAAGCCCTAGAAATGCTTGCACAGTACGAATGAAATAAAGTACGCACGGATGTGACTAAACCTTATATGGATGAGATTGTAGTCAATGTGTAGTCACATGTCCGTCTGAATGCAATACCGAATTTAAAGTCATATTATTCTACTGATTTTTTTGTTCTTCTCGAAAGATGTGCATTGAAATGAGTCTTAAACAACCTGCATAAACGACTGTTCGCAGAAGATACTTACTTATGAATGACGAAAGAAACAATCGTTTCTTGATTTACGTATTAAATTTTGACGTAATTCCACCAAACGTTGAAATATGCAACGGCCCATTGACCCTTTCTATCAATAAACAAATACTGAACTGTTTACAGTGATCAAAAATTGTTGTTTGGTGATATTGTGATCAGAACTGTTCGATCGACTTCAAAGAATTTCTTTGCATTTTCAAGTAACGTTGCTTCATTGAAATCTGAAGTGATAACATTGAGAAATTTTAACGATTGATCGCGTTTTATTGAGATGCAACATGGAAAAATAGTGAAATTCTGATGAAGTCAATTTGAGACGATCTCTTTATTATTCCTATAAGTTTGATGTCATTAATTCCTCATTCATATACGTGTTATTCTTTTTCTGATAAAAAGATTGTCAAATCAAGCAGCAGTCAGTGTTTAGCATCGCAACGAATTGCAAATAATTTCAACAACTCAATAAGCTTCATTTCATAAATTTTGTAGATGGAGATAATTCTTTTTTGCAGTGCTAACATTATCACTGCAGTAATTCAGTTTCCCTTACTGAATAGTAGTTTCGATAACACGAAAAGTTCTTGTCACATTGAAAAATCGCCTTTTAAAGATGTTCATTCTGTGAACAAAATCCTGAATGATTAAAAAGAGAACATTTTATGAATGTTCATTGGGCATGTTTAGAATTAATTTTCATATCTTCGTAAAAGCGAAATCAAAACATGCTATTTAGATACGTTTAAAATATCAGCATGCATATCGTTGGTTTTTCTTTTTACTATAAACACAACATTGCGTTATCGTGGTTGAAAAGCAGCCTTGTGTTGAGGAATTTGATAGAATGCAAATGAAGTAGGTGCATTGAGTGTGCTCGATAAAATGCATCTCTATAAAGTAGTTTGACAAAAGTCTAGTGAAAAAATGTGTTGAGTATAACGTGGAAATGATCTGAATAACTGAAACGTGCCCAGTTTTTTTGCGTTTTGTGCACAAAACGCTTGTGTTGAATGTGCGACGGACGATACCGTGTCTGCCTGCTTGCTTGCTTCAAAACCGGTTCCTAACTTAAAAATTGAATGCTTTAGAGTCATTAAGAATTTGCACGCAGCATAAAACACATTATTCGAATAGCATTTAAAACAATAGTGAATTTTAGAGACCAACTATTGTTGTTGTTCAAAAAAGGAGCTGTTGCTCCGAGTATATTTGACCGAAGACTGCAAAAAACCGAAATTATCGAGGACGAAAAAACTCCGCCATGTAACCGAAACAGAATGTTATTCGTATTTTGAATACTAAGACAAACGCGTCGAACTTTCCGAAGTACTTTTTCTTTTGAATTAATTAATTTCAGGAACTTAATAGAATTGAACGCTGATAATTTGCACTAGCTTGTCCGATGTTATAATATTTGAATTGTTTTTAAAAAACTCGAACTACTAAATTTGGTGGCATAAAAAGTACCTCAATAGTTAATTTTAGCGTTAAGATTTTCTTCAGAAAGTTGTTTAAAGATTTGCAATGTAGCAGTATGACCCATCGCTTCTTCTTCTTCATCCATATTACAACTTGATCATATGAGAAATCTGATTGCATTTAAACATTTATTCATGGTGTCCGTCCAACATGATTTCAAATCACAATTTCAACGTCCCATTCGAAAGGAGAAAAAGAAGCTCATTTAAAATCTGCTCACTTAACGTGAATTATACCTGATCTTGGCAAATTAACGATATGCTAATGATGCGCTTGACTGAGGGTGCTATTAAAACGTTCAGGATAAGTCTCGTTTAATCGTAAGCCAAGACAATATTGGTGGAATCATGCACACTTCGATGTTGCAGTAAATTGCTTAATGCGATTAATATGACCTATTTTGAGTGTTCGATATGATGATTCATTAGCACTTAGTAAACTTTTAAACTAGATCAGCTTCATTTGATTGCGCGGAAAATGTGAAACAATAATTTTTTGAGCACCCTCGTCATACCTCTAGTATTGACCGTCGAGACCAACTGTTACCAGCGCATCAGTGGTCGAATATCATCTGTTAAAATTTGCCGAATAAAATTTGCTATTCACTGTAGCAGTGTCAAATATTAATCGAATTCCTCAGCCAGTTAAATTATAGCCGTTTATCGCTACACGGCGTTATACGCTGACCAAGACTTTCCTTGTTTCATCAAAGATATTTCTTTTTTTGCGGCACAATACTTCCTATGTGCAGGTAATTAATGCTTGTACATAGCGCATTACAATTTACAGAAGGAAATTAGTTGCTAATAATAGTCCTTATTTACAGACTCTAATTTTCATTTCTGCATACATTCATAAGAATAATTTGCAAAGGATATCTACCATATAAATATATCCAGCGTCGCACAAATAAAGGAATGAACTTCCTACGGATAATGATTGATTGCTAAGTGTCACGATTTTGAATAATTCCTCACTCTCCATTAACAGCATCTCGAAATTAAAATAAGCAGCTAATTTATCAAACATACTCTGAATTGCAATAATAACTATGCACGCGTTCATTTTATAACTGTTTATTTCTTCATATGTGTAAAGTTTCAAAGAGTACATTACATGGATGAGTATGTCTACAGAATGCATTATGTTCATTTATAACAATAATAATACATGTATATAACTATAACAATAATAATAAACATTATTATCATCGACGTCATTACTATCAGTATACACAAGCATATACATATCGAAAAATCTTGTCCTATCTCGTTTCGGAGAACTTGTACACAAAAAGAAAGAGTTGCTAACCACTTATCTCATTCGATCTGCAGAGAGGCTTCAGCTTGCAATCATTTCGATCAAACTTCTAGAATATTTCGTCATGTTCTCAATCGTGCACATAAATGAGAACGAATTCATGAAAAAATTCTGATAGATTTGCCGCAGTGTTCCATTCAGAGAACGCCATTTAACTATGCTTGCATTCGTTTTTGCTCTTTAACATAGTGTGCTTTCTGATTTTTACGAGTTAATATTGAGTTAATGAAGAGGGAGTAAATAACTCCTCTGCAAC